GTGGGAAGGGTGTATAGTTAAGGGTGTGGGGAGGAAGGGTGTAAAGTTAAGGTGTGTGGGGAGGGAAAGGGTGTAAAGGTTAAGGTGTGTGTGAGGAAGGGTGTATAGTTAAGGTGTGTGGTGAGAGAAGGGTGTATAGTTAAGGTGTGTGTGGGGAGGGAAGGTGTATAGTTCAGGAGTTGTGTGAGGGAAGGGTGTATAGTTAAGGAGTGTGTGTGAGGGTGTATAGTTAGGGTGTGGGAGGAAGGGTGTATAGTTAAGGTGTGTGGTGAGAAGGGTGTATAGTTAAGGTGTGTGGTGAGAAGGGTGTATAGTTAAGGTGTGTGGGGAGGGAAGGGTGTATAGTTCAGGAGTGTGTGTGAGGGAAGGGTGTATAGTTAAAGGTGTGTGTGAGGAAGGGTGTATAGTTAAGGTGTGTGGGGAGGGAAGGGTGTAAAGTTAAGGTGTGTGGGGAGGGAAGGGTGTAAAGTTAAGGTGTGTGTGTGGGAAGGGTGTATAGTTAGGTGTGTGGTGAGAAGGGTGTATAGTTAAGGTGTGTGGGGAGGAAGGGTGTATAGTTCAGGTGTGTGTGAGGAAGGGTGTATAGTTAAGGAGTGTGTGTGAGGAAGGGTGATAGTAAGGAAAAGGTGTGTGTGAGGGAAGGGTGTATAGTTCAGGTGTGTGTGTGAGGAAGGGTGTATAGTTAAGGGTGTGTGTGAGGAAGGGTGTATAGTTCAGGTGTGTGTGAGAGGAAGGGTGTATAGTTAAGGAGTGTGGTGAAAGGGTGTATAGTTAAGGTGTGTGGGGAGGAAGGTGTATAGTTCAGGAGGTGTGTGTGTGAGGAAGGGTGTATAGTTAAGGTGTGTGGTGAGAAGGGTGTATAGTTAAGGTGTGTGGGGAGGGAAGGGTGTAAAGTTAAGGAGTGTGGTGAGAGAAGGGTGTATAGTTAAGGTGTGTGGTGAGAAGGGTGTATAGTTAAGGTGTGTGGGGAGGGAAGGGTGTAAAGTTAAGGTGTGTGGTGAGAGAAGGGTGTATAGTTAAGATGTGTGGTGAGGGAAGGGTGTATGGTTAAGGTGTGTGGCGAGGAAGGTAGTGTAGCTTGTGTAGATGTGTGGGTGTAGAACTCAGGCAGCAGCTAACACCTGTGCTAGACCTGGGGGGGTAGGTGTTGTGGGTGGCAGGTACACTCATTATATAACACCTGTGCGTTACTCACCACGCCTTCTCTATCTCTCTCAGTCTCTTTCTCTCTTTTTCTAGCTTTAACTCTTCGTTTTAACTCCCTACGCCAGAACAAGCAATAAACAACGTCTGACTAGAGCTCCCCAGCCACCCATCACTGATTTGAGAGTGAGAATTCTGGCAGTTGACCGCCAAACAGCCCCAGTGTCTGACGTGGCGATGTTACGACCGGGATAATGATCTACAGTATATGTCGTCCTCTTCAGTAAGAAAACTAGGTCCTCCTACTCAACGGTGAGGCACCTCGTACTTAATGGTTTAGTGTCCTCGTACTCAGGGAATAAAGACCTCGTACTCAAGGGGTTGAGTACTTCATACTTAAAGGGTTAGAGCCTTTTACTCAATGGTAGTGGCGTTACTGTATATATTCAGGATTAGTGCTGTTACTAGATGTACTCAAGGCTACTGTAATGGCGCTACTGCCACTATATGTTCTCAAGGCTAGTGGTACACCTACTAACACTTAGGATTAGTGGTACTACGACTAACACTTAGGGATAGTGGCACTATTATTGACACTTAGGGCTAGTGGCACTATTATTGACACTTAGGGCTAGTGGCACTACTACTACTAACACTTAGGGCTAGTGACACTACTACTACTAACACTTAGGGATAGTGGCACTACTACTACTAACACTTAGGGCTAGTGGCACTACTACTACTAACACTTAGGGCTAGTGGCACTACTACTACTAACACTTAGGGACAGTGGCACTACTATTGACACTTAGGGCTAGAGACACTACTACTACTAACACTTAGGGCTAGTGGTACTACTACTACTAACACTTAGGGCTAGTGGCACTACTACTACTAACACTTAGGGATAGTGGCACTACTACTAACACTTAAGGCTAGTGGCACTATTATTGACACTTTAGGCTAGTGGCACTATTATTGACACTTAGGCCAGTGGCACTACTACTACTAACACTTAGGATAGTGGCACTACTACTACTAACACTTAGGGATAGTGGCACTACTATTGACACTTAGGGCTAGTGGCACTACTACTAACACTTAAGGCTAGTGGCACTATTATTGACACTTAGGCTAGTGGCACTACTACTACTAACACTTAGGGCTAGTGACACTACTACTACTAACACTTAGGATAGTGGCACTACTACTACTAACACTTAGGCTAGTGGCACTACTACTACTAACACTTAGGGCTAGTGGCACTACTACTACTAACACTTAGGATAGTGGCACTACTATTGACACTTAGGCCAGGAGACACTACTACTACTAACACTTAGGGCTAGTGGTACTACTACTACTAACACTTAGGGCTAGTGGCACTACTACTAACACTTAGGATAGTGGCACTACTATTGACACTTAGGGCTAGTGGCACTACTACTAACACTTAGGGCTAGTGGCACTACTATTAACACTTAGGCTAGTGGCACTACTACTAACACTTAGGCTAGTGGCACTACTACTAACACTTAGGCTAGTGGCACTACTACTAACACTTAGGCTAGTGGCACTACTACTAACACTTAGGGCTAGTGGCACTACTACTAACACTTAGGCTAGTGGCACTACTATTAACACTTAGGCTAGTGGCACTACTATTAACACTTAGGGCTAGTGGCACTACTACTAACACTTAGGGCTAGTGGCACTACTACTAACACTTAGGCTAGTGGCACTACTACTAACACTTAGGGCTAGTGGCACACTACTAACACTTAGGGCTAGTGGCACTACTACTAACACTTTAGGCTAGTGGCACTACTATTAACACTTAGGGCTAGTGGCACTACTACTAACACTTAGGGCTAGTGGCACTACTATTAAAACTTAGGCTAGTGGCACTACTACTAACACTTAGGGCTAGTGGCACTACTATTAAAACTTAGGCTAGTGGCACTACTACTAACACTTAGGCTAGTGGCACTACTATTAACACTTGGCTAGTGGCACTACTACTAACACTTAGGGCTAGTGGCACTACTATTAAAACTTAGGCTAGTGGCACTACTACTAACACTTAGGGCTAGTGGCACTACTACTAACACTTAGGCTAGTGGCACTACTATTAACACTTAGGCTAGTGGCACTACTATTAACACTTAGGCTAGTGGCACTACTAACACTTAGGGCTAGTGGCACTACTATTAACACTTAAGGCTAGTGGCACTACTACTAACACTTAGGCTAGTGGCACTACTACTAACACTTAGGCTAGTGGCACTACTACTAACACTTAGGCTAGTGGCACTACTATTAACACTTAGCTAGTGGCATTACTAACACTTAGGCTAGTGGCACTACTACTAACACTTAGGGCTGTGGCACTACTACTAACACTTAGGGCTAGTGGCACTCTATTAAAACTTAGGGCTAGTGGCACTACTACTAACACTTAGGGCTAGTGGCACTACTATTAAAACTTAGGGCTAGTGGCACTACTACTAACACTTAGGGCTAGTGGCACTACTACTAACACTTAGGGCTAGTGGCACTACTACATACGTAAGGTTATCTTTAATCTTTGTTATTCATCTATGTATCTATAGTACTTGTTATCTATCTATCTATCTATCTATCTATCTATCTAACTATCTATCTATCTATCTATCTATCATCCTTGTCCTTTATCATCTTGTTATCTATCTATCGTCCTTATCATCTGTGTGTGTGTCATCCTTGTAATTTATTTACCATCTCTGTAATCTATCACCTTATCTATCCATTATATTTGATCTATTTACTATCCTAGTTATCTATCCAGCGATCCTCGTTGTTTAAATCTATCTGTTATCTATATTCCAATCTATATTCTTTGTTATCTGTGGATCTATCAGTCTTGTTATCGATCTACTCAGTGATTCTGGATATAAGCACAACCCGTTATCTTGAGGAAGCTTAGATCACAATATTAACACCAGGCTTGAGGGTGTTTCCGTATCTCTAGTTCTCTCGAAATATTTGTCCCCTCACACACGCACACCAGTCATAACAACACACAAATATAACTGGTTTAATTATAGTAGGATAGTCTTTTATTTAAAGTAGAGGAAACTTTGCGATATCACGTTATTAAAAACTATCTGAAGCTTTGAGAGAGAAATTTTCTTTGTCATTTAATAGTATTTCAACCTTATCGCAATAGGATAACATACCATAACATAACGATAACACAACGCTCGTCACTTTGTATAGTAAAGGATGACTAAAGTGATACGAGATTATTTTTTTGTATGATGGACAAGGAGAGCGACACTGCAACCTACACTCACGATCAGCTTTGCCTTGTGCATCTTGGAATTAAAAAATCACCCAAGGGCGTCTGACACGTAGGTCTGGCGTCATATAGCACATTGGGTGTTTGTGAGCCAGTTGGGTTTAACAAGATGGTTTATACTACTGTTTGTGACTCATACACCACATATTGCCTCCTCAGAGAGAATTTGAATCTGGGACGAGTGGACTACCAACCCAGTATGATAACCAACTCTGCCCTGTACTGTACTTGGATGACAGTCGGAAACTAGCCTAATCTAAAACTGCCATACTTTCTTACCATAAATATCCAGATCTAACGTTAACCACTAGAGCAATAAGTTTCCAGTATAGTAATGGTAATTATTTGGTGTTATTAATGTTACCGTCTTCGGAAGCGGTTGTCCCAAAAACATTCTGGGGTGTTTGAGTGTCCGACTGTACAACTCAGGGTTACGTTGGTCATCGTAGTTGGTATTCGTGTATTTTTAACACCGATCAGCGGCTATGAAGTAGGAGGTGTGAGGAGAGAAACTCACCTTTCAGCAAGATCAGTTCGAGGGAGGGGGGGGGGGCGTCATTGCCAGAACATCATTCGGTGTTTCTAGTTGCCTTTGTAACTACTACATTGTGAGGGAGGCAGTTTGGGGTGACAAAGGTGCCCGTTGGTCATTTCCCTCTTGGAGATATACTGTGCATCTGATTCGTAGTTGTTACACAGAGTGTTCCGTGTTAGCGATGTATAATCCTAGGCACAGTGAACACGGGTCTGAGGCCGAGCCATCTTAGAACTTAACATGTTCCCCCAGAGCGCCACGTCACCAACCGCTCGGTTTTCTTCGTCGCCTGCCCCTCATCCCTTCGTCAGAGATCGGCAGCGGGCGGACCAGGGCATCGCCAGCCTCAACCAACTAACACATAGACGCACACATGCTGTCCCAGGGATGTATGAGTGTGACAAGTGTTAGTTCAACGCTAATTCTGCCCAGGTGATACCAGCTAAACAGGTGGCAAGGAAGAACACGGGTGGTTCAGACACTTGCATTTCACACAGATGCTAATCACACATGTGTACACGTGTCTTAACCCCTTCTCACCCCTCTGTATCTCTGCACTTGTCACTTTATGCCTCTACGTTCACAAATGTTATCCCCTTCAGGTACAGTGCATGGGTCTTACCTCTGTGACGCAGGAGTTGGTGATGGTAGTCGGACAGCGAGCTGCAGGTGTGACGCAGGTGTGAGCTGTTTGGATGCGGAAACACGTGTGCCGCCACCGGCCCTCCACCACCCCCAGTTCTCTGTCCCCACAACCACGCCCCAGAGGGAGGGGAAAGGCGGAAAGGGGAGGGGCCTGGAAGAAGGGTATACGTCACTTCTCATGACCCTCTCCCTCCCTCATGGCTGAGTATGTCCTCAACTCCTCATCATCTAAATTCATCTTTAAGAACAAACCACCGCCAGAAAGTGACGAACATCACGACACAGTGGCGTCATCTGTTTAAACAAGTGCGTACATATTCCTGAATAAATACTCATAATTTTTTGGTGTTTAATGTATGTTATATGAAAGTTACTGCAGTAATTTAACTATTCTAAGTTTTTACATATACATTGCTATAAATGACCTACATTCACCTCGTATTTACGTTATTAGTATTAGTAATAAATGTCTCGATTGGGGAAAATTACCGACCTGGTAGTTAAAATTAGGTTAGGTATACACCAAGTCATTAATGTTCCGACACCTTAACGTTATTCTCTGTCCTGTTATTCTTATACAAAGTGGTTAACGTTAAGGCATGGGGACGTTATGGCGATAAGGTTGGCATACCCATGACATGCCCACTCTCTCTCCAGATCCAAATCATCGACGTTCTAATACCGTGGGGTTAACTTTATCGTTCACTGTAATGAGGAAGCCACCTGTCAACGTTTTCCTCCTGGAGTTGATGGTGAGATATTAAATCGAACTGAGGCTAAGATATGAGTCTAAATACTACTGTAGTTTAAAAAGCGCTGAAAACGACTTCCGGTACAACGATACTTTTAACGCTATTAAATTTATCTTTTGCCATTTTTGTGACAATATTCAAATATATCCTGTTTATATCTATAAGTCTATCTATGTATATACAGCATGTATTTATTTAATAATATATTTTATCTTAGCATTTATTTTAATTTTTTTTTACGTTTTTATTTATTTTTTACGGGAAATAGCCCCCAGGCACAGGTCATCGACCCACAACGGGGCCAAGGGGCGGAAAAATAAGAGTAAAATAAATGAAAATAGAAAAGAAAACGATTATATTAATCTACACCACGAAGATGCCGGAAAACCATTTTTTTAAGTGAGACAGATTGTATGAGTATGGAAACACAAGAGGAGGCAGAGCATTCCACAGATTGGCTGTGTGGGGAAAGAAGGATGTACTATAATGGGTTATTCTAGTGTGTCCGACATCCACAGAGAAACGATGGGCATCGCTGGCAAGACAAATGTTACGAGCCCATGGCCTTGCCGCGGTACACAGAATGCCAATCCACCGAACATTGCCCGTTAAAGTACCTGTAAAAGAGAGAGAGTGAAGCAGCATTTCGGCGGCGAGAAAGGGAAGAGAGATTGTCAAGTAAAGGAGGAGAGATAATAAGACGAAATGCCTTTGATTCCACCCTATCTAACAGTTGGACAGAAGAAGAGCCACCCCAGATATGAGAGCAGTACTCCAAGTTAGGACGAATGAATACCTTATAAACTTGAAGCAACTGCTCAGGAGTGAAGTAGTTACGGCATCTGTACTTCCCAGCTTTCGGGAGGCAGCTTTAGATGTTGTGGATGTATGACTTCCATGACATATTAGAGGGAATGGTGAGGCCTAGCATATCTATTTTAGAATTTTAACTAAAGGCTACTCTAACCTTATCCTTAACCAACCTTAACGTCTTCTTAACCTAATCATAATTTACAAATTTACCCCAACTCCCCTCATTACAACCTAACCTCCTTTAATTAACCTCACATTAATTTACTGTAATTTCACCTTAACTACCGTAACATAAACAAACTTTAAGCTAATTTAACCACATCTAAACTTAACCAATTATGATGCTCATCTACAGTAACTATCAATTTTAAACAGAAAATACACAGCAAAATTGTACAGTTAATACCCAACGGTGTTTATATCAGGATGGGTGGGAGGGTGGGGGGGGCACCCTACCAACAAGCTCGAGAAATACTTCAACAACCGTAGGAACTAGGACGATGAGTGATTGAGGAGGAGCCGCCCTGAAGGAAGGTGAGGAGGTCGTCTTAAATAACTCAGAAGATGTATGGGAGTGTAGATTATGGTAAACACATAAGTAGCTTCAGCTGGGTTGTATATACGTACAGAAATGGTGATGGTAATACGGTGGATGGCCAGGCTGCCTCGTTACTCCTTGTTGACGAGTGTTGAGGCAGTTGTAGGTGTGGCGTGGAATCTAACCGTCTCCCAAGGACACCTTTCTGTGAGGCTCCCTCCAACTTGTCCAAGCACAGAACAATAACTATGTTAACATGCATATATGGACTGGGACAATAACACATCACTATTCCGCCATAATTTTTGCTTCTGTTGTCTTTAGATATTGTCTTCTATTGGGACAGGCTTTTTTCAGAGTTAGGACATGCGTTATAAAGCATGTGTTACACCCGCCTCCTCCCATGTACAGTAACGTTTACCCTTTTTAGTAACCAAACAAACATTTGAACACCTTACCTAACTTTTCCTAACTTGTTAAAATGTTAAGAATCGCTTTTGAATTTACGGATCCCCTCTCACCTGAGCACCGAAAATACGGCAATACGTCAATATGATTGGCTGTTTATATCCGGGAATGAGAAGTCAACGCCACATTACCGCTGAGAAGACAATGTAGTGCGCGCCAGGCGCCTAATTATATACCAAACGAAGAATTTGCACAAGAAATGATTATCTTATCAGAATTCACTGATGAAACTATAATAAGAAAATAAACGTCAAAACAAATAACGTGTCGGCAGGTCAGTCAGCAATATTAACGGACTAAAAATAACGGGAGATTTAAGCACAAACTAAAACATACAGGAGGTATTACCTTAATAGAGACGAGCTTTGGTGAGAAAAACACAACAATTCACAGGAAGCCATATCACAAATGGATGGTTTAACTTTGTATTGATACAAGGTTTCCATTATAAGGAGGTGCGTCACCTACTTGCTCTTGGAAAGAACTGAGAAATCAGACTGCGAGAATGTGATTGGGTGGTCATGTTGGTGGGCGTGGTTACTGATAGCTGAATGTGGTGGTTGTGTGATTAACTGGTCTGTTCGGACGGAACGGCCCAAGTGCTCATGGATGAGAGTTTTCAAGTGTCTTTGTTTTACCTATGTATGCTGCCCTACAGCTAGCACACGTAAATTGATCGACAACTGAGGATGCAAATGTGTGGGTATGGTGTCTTTAGTTTTAAATTTTTTTTTAATTTAACTCTGGGCTTTGAAGACTAGCCTAAGATAAAATTTTGGGTAGAATTTATTGAGAAGCTTCTTAAGTTTGAGTCTACAGTTTTTTTCCATGGGGGGCGAGGAGGGGGGGAAGGGGGTGGCATTGTCTGCCTTAATTTTCTCATGCCTTACAAGAACGTATCTATTTAAATTGTAGTCTTTGTTATATCTGTTGTTTAATTTAAGTTAGGGTTTCGGTGTAATTTTGATGCTAGTTTTGTCCCTTAGTTTTGTTTTGTTTTAACTAAAGTAAACTAATAAGAAGTATCCTTACGTCTTTAGTTACAAGGATTTATCATCTTATTGACCATCTGAGGGTGACTCCTGTAAGGTGTCTTGCCAGTACTGTACAGTGTAGAACATGAGCCCCAAGTGTCTTAAACACTTGGGGCTGTGTTACCCTCGTGTTTCCAAATTAACTAACATGCACTACCTTCTTTGTGTCTAGACTTGAACGTTTCATCTAAATTACTGATAACTACGAGGATAAGGTTATTTATCATTTTCAGCTCAGCTTCGCAAAGATAGCTAAAACCTTTACATGACTGTCCCTTGGTTTAGGATTCAACCTTGTTGTTGTTGTTGTTGTTGTTAAAACGTTATTGCTGAGCTTCAATAACGAAGGTCGTCATGACAACTACGTTAGGATCACATACCATTATTTTCCGGAGCTGAGGATTTTTCTTCTTGGTTGGTACTTTTATAATAACCTAAACTCACCTTGAATACAATTTGAAGAACCACTTAGACCTTTTTAAATCACGGGTTTCACGAGGTAAATAAACAAGAATAATTTGTTAAATATTTATTCAATATATTTCGTAGGAGAGGAATATGTGCAAAAGAGAGGGTGTATTGTGTTGGGCATCCTCGCTTTCGTCACAACGCGGGGATAAATAAGTATTTCTCTTAATTTATAAACCCTTTGATAAATATCTAACAGAAACAGCCTGAACACTCCATACATTTCAGCGTTACAAGAGACGCGTAATTTAGGTAAATTATAACAATATAGAAAACGTCCATCATGAGTAGCACAAGTAAGGAGATGCCTTCAAGATGAGTAATTTATCTAAGAGAGAAAATATACCTAAATGAAAGCAAAGTCTCTATTGAGTTAAATGGTAATAAAGTGGAGGTGTTATTTTGTGATATTAAAAGTCAGTCTGAGCGAAGGAGAGTCGCCCAGGCGGCTGATCTGATCTAAGATGTTTAAAAATACAACAACCAAACCGAGGAAATGTCCCGTATTAGAGAAGGACGATCATTAAATTAATACTTAGAGTACTCTGAACCCGTCTCACCCTTACAGTGTACGTTTTAGAAAATAATTGACGCTTAAACGTGACTAGAAGGCTCCTACAGACATTACCTTGACCAGGGACTGCACTCGTACTTGCCTTCACCCCACCGGAAGCAAACTATGGATATTGAACTTGGTAGATTTATAATGAAATACCAACTAGCGACGCTTTACTTTCTTAAGCATTTATGAATTACCTCAACTGATACACGAAATCTTCGTTGATTTTTTAAGGAAGAATTAATTTACTTTATGGGTAAAAGGCAAACGATAG